ACAAAGCAACATCATTTCAAGAATACACGTATTTATTAAACACATGGAAGATGGATTAGAAAGACACACAATGAACACACTAAAATGAATAGCTATGGAAGATGAAGGGGAATGGAATGAAGGGGAAAAGAAATAAAAGAAAAGAAGTTGAAACAAAATAAAACAAATAAAATGAAATTAAAATAAAATAAATAGACTGTGCCCAGAGAGATCCAAATGATAATATTGGGACAAACTGAGGAGTATGTTTAATTTGATTCTATGCACCTGGTCTAATGGGAGAAGGACTGGGAAAGACAAAGAAGGAAAAAGATAAGAAAACAGAATAAATATACAAATGTATAAATAATGTATAGTAATATATAATGTATAAATAATCTTAGCCTTTTGATATTGTAAAATTACAAATTAATATTTGTCATTTTCCATAAAACAACTCACATTTGAATATTTTAAAAATAGGACATGTAATCTTTATGCAGTTACCACTTTAATCCTATCAATTTTAATCCATCTAGTGCAAGTTGTATACAAAGATGACTCTTTTTCAGCACATAAAGTATTCATATTTTTTCCTCACAAAGTGATACTCACTGATTTGTAGCTTCTTATTCTGTTATGTTTGTCTAAAACTTGTCATTATTAAAATCAGTAAAATTCTTTGATTTGTTATAAGGCTACCCTCAGTATCAAATTATTTATGTCCATATTCAACTAGAATTCAGTGATTCCAAAACTGTATAACATTAGCTTTAACACTGTATTTCTAAATGTGTATAAAAGTTTCTTTCCTCCCTCTGTTTCCTTGTGTATCATATTCAAAGGCTTTTATAGATTTATACAGGAAATGGAAAACAACTATATGTAAACAAAATTGGAATCATGATGCAGATATTGTTTTGAAATCTTTTTTGTTCATTTGGCTGGTTGGTTGATTTTTTTACTTAGTAACACGTTGTTAGCTTCTTTCAGTGTCATTATTCTTCCAACATATGATGTAAGAAGTTAGGGCTTTGCCATAACATTTTTTAATAAATATACTACCAGACATTTTTATTATTTCCAGGTCTTCATTCTTCTAAAAAGTGCTTCAATGAAAGTAAAATGGGTGTAGTTTAATTTTTAAACGGAATGTAGAAGTTTGAAAGGGGCGTGCATTAAAATAAACTATGCCTTAAGAAAACCTGATAGGATTCAAACACTTGCTCATATATCAGATGCTAGTCTTCATTGCTCTGCGAGAGCATTCAATTGCTTGCAAGTTTTAGATTAGCAGAACACAATGGGCATTTTGTGCAATCAAGTAATAATTGTTTGTGTTAAGAATACTGTTATGTTTAACTAGTGATTACCAGTGGGGAGAGGGAAGAGGGGAGGGGTAAGAAAAGGGTAGGGGATTAAGAGGTACAAACTACGATTTATAAATAAGCTACAAGGATATACTGTACAGCACAAGAAATATAGCCAATATTTTACAATAACTTTAAATAGAGTATAATTTATAAAAATTTTGAATCACTGTTATACACCTGAAATTATAATCTTATAAATTAACTATGCCTCAATAAAAAATTTTTTAAAGAATATTGGTATTCGTAGAGAACAGACTTGACATAGGGAGGAGGAAGGGTAAGCTGCGAGGAAGTGAGAGAGTAGCATTGACATATATACACTACCAAATGTAAAATAGGTAGCTAGTGGGAAGCAGCCGCATAGCACAGCAAGATCAGCTCTGTGCTTTGTGACCATCTAGAGGGGTGGGATAGGGAGGGTGGGAGGGAGACTCAAGAGGGAGGGGATATGGGGATATATGTATACATATAGCTGATTCATTTTGTTATAAAGCAGAAACTAACACAACATTGTAAAGCAATTACACTCCACTAAAGATGTTAAAAAAAATAAAAGAATACTGGTATTTTGAAAATACTATCTCTAACAAAAGTGAAGATTTGGGGGGAGATTTGCATACTTCTTCCCACAGTGAAAAAGTGTAACATAATCCAAAGCTCTCTGCTTTCTTACCCACATCAAATACCATAACACTTGGGATAAAATACAATAAATAAAAGCATGTTATACAGAAGTCTGTGAGACCTAGGTTAGGGTTTATTGCAAAACAAGCCAACCAATTCAACAATACTGACACAGAACACTGAGCTGTGTCCTGTAGTGCATACAAAAGTGAACAAGATGGAATCCTTACCTTCAAGGCATGTATAATCTGGCACTGGTGGTAGGAGGGAAAGCAATGCTTTAAGGGGAGAGAATATACATTCTCTGTGTTACAACATGCCAGCATTTTTTAATGAACTTTTTATAGGAAAAATTGCATGTGCCAAAGAAAACAGGCTGGGGTATAGGGGCAGATACATGGGAAGCAAGAAGAGATGTGAGCATGACTTTACAATATATCCAGATATGAAGAGCAATACATCTCATAAATGACAACAAAAGCAATAGCGATGAAAACCCCAGGGATAAGAAAAACTAGTTTAAGGCCATATGACGGTGCCAAATGATGAACTATAGGGAGTCAAAGGAGGAAAAGTTATGAGCACCTTCAGGTAGAAGATGGCAACTTGAAACAAGCCCGGCATGATGATGGTGGGAGGTCAGGAAATAGGTATGGGAACATCTACATTTCCTGGAATTCTCTATAGAACCTGTTCCACAGGTTAGGTCTACCATAAAACTAACCTTTTCCTAACCTAAACCCTGCCGAGACGTAAGGGAGCAGAAATGCTCAATACAAACCTTGGCCTCCCAGAATTTAGAACACACACCTCAGTGACAGTGCTAGGCCAAGAGCTAATATCCACCCAGCAGGTAAAAAGGCACAAGAGACATCCGTGCTACCAAAGAGAGTTTCTCAACGAGGGGCCACAGTTTTTCATCATTCCTACCTACCAATTTCAGGCCTGGAAGTGAAGGCTGAATACGAGAATGACTTTAGTAGAGAGAAAATGAGGACTGCTGGGAGAGGACAAGCAAAGAAAGAGGATGTTTGAACAGATAATTTCTCAGTGCTGGCTAAGCATCAGGATCATCAGAGCTGCTGGTTAAAAGCACTGATTCCTGCCCCCACCTACCCACCTGAGGTGATTCTGATTCAATAGGTTTAAGATGAGGTCTGAGAATCTGTGCTTTGCAAAACCTCTCTAAGTGGTTCCCATGTATAGTCAGGTTTAGACTCCATACGAAATCCCTACCCTCCATGAAGATGTAGAACATATATATTTGTAAATGCGTATAATGTTTCACAGCATAAAGGGGTAGAAAAAAAGATAAATAAATCACTGTTTCCCTGGGCAAATCCCTTAACCTAACTCTAACTCAGTTTTTCCTCTGAAAAATAACGAATATGGAGTAGAAAATAATTGACCCCTTGCAGTTCTAAAATAACATGATTTTGGTACTTAGTTAAGTGTGAGCTTTAAAGAAAAATTAACTCAAGGAAAAAACATCCCATCTGGCATTACCGAAATATTGTGAAAAGTTTTCGGTTCTAAATTGGTTCCTTATATAGAGTTTCCTTTTCTCTTTTATGATCTTTTTTGGTAATACTCTCTTTAAGCTCACAGATATGGAATATTTTAAAAGAATTGTTATAAATAATATAAATGCCAGATTCTGTTTTACATAAGTCAAACAAAATAGCAGTGGTACAATGTACCAACATAACAAAGTACGTGTGATTTACACAGTATGAAAAAACTTCATTTTGATTTTTTTTAATGTCCAAAAACCATGTCCTACTTGGTTGGGGGTTGTTGCCTCTACTTTGTTCAATACAGTTTTAGCAACTCAAGAAGTGCTGATGACATCAATGGTCCTCTGATGTTCCTTTGATCACTTGGCACCTAGAATAGTTTGTGGCCCATAGAGGGTGATCAAAAAATATTTATTGAATGAATTAATAAATATGCAAAAATATTTCTATAAATATGCAAAAATATTTCTCTTTGCAAAAGTTCTCACCAGTGGCTCTTAAACTATGTATTTCTATTGACAGTTTAGTCTCCTTAACATTCTAATATAATTTTTACCTTATAGTTTTCATGTGAATCAATAGGTTCTGGTACCAATTCCAATCTGGGTGTGGGGGTGGTGGTGGAGAGTTTCCCTATACCAACAACAAGCAATTCTAGGGACACCAGCTGGGTGTCCTATGATTCAACTCAATTCTGACACTACCTACCTGCAGATAGCATCAGATTCCACAGGTTAAACATTGAGGGTTCAGTCCTACACGACTACCCTCCACCAGACTTCAGGAATCAGTCACAAGCCTAGGTCGTTGCCTGTGTTTCTGACCCACCTAATACAGATTGGAGGTTCCCATGACACCCTCCTTAAACTTCAGCACCAGTTACAAGCAGAGGTTGTTATGTGTACTTTTGACAAACAGCTATATATGAGAGGTTCCCATGACCTCTTCCTTTGGTTTGAATAATTTGCTAGAGAGACTCACAGAGCTCAGAGAAACATTTTGCTTACCAGATTACTGGTTTATCATAAAAGGATATAACTCAGAAACAGGCAGATGGAAGAGATGCACAGGACAAGGTATGGGGCTTCCATGCCCTCACCAGACATGCCACTCTCGGCACTTCCACATGTTGCCCAAACTGGAAGGCCTCAGAACCTGTCCTCTGAGTTTTTATGGAGGCTTCATTACACAGTCATAACTGATTAAATCATTGCCATTAGTATTGATTCAACCTCCAGCCCCTCTCCAGGAGACTGGGGAGAGGGCATGGTATTAATTACATGGTTGGTTCCTCTGGCAGCCAACCCCATCTTTAGGTTATCTAAGGGCTTTCCAAAAGTCACCTCATTAACATATAACAAGAAATTCCAAGAGTTTTGGGAGCTCTGTACCAAGAACTGGGTGCAAGACCAAATCACAGTGAATCTAAGTAAGTTTAAGCCTTTTAACCACATTCAACATTTAGTTAAACTTTAGAAAACATTCCTGAGCTGCTCTCTTAACCTACCTGCAAGTGCTACTTTTCTGCATGACGTCAGCTCGATGATACCCAGAGAGTTTGCAAAAACCGTCATTACTATAAACTACAGGCCAATCCACAATCTGGGCATTTCCCAGTAAGAAACTCGATTCTAAAGGAGAAAGAAGAAAAGGGAAGTTTTTTAGCTTCATTTAACAATGTACTTCTTTCAAGTAATTAAAAAGACATATTCATAAAAATAAACAAATATAACTATGGTTTGTTATGGTACAAATAATAAAACGTATCCTTGAAACTGGCATTATTACTTTAGCATGATCAGCAACTGAGATCTGCAATGAGTACAAGATTTGCATATAAACTAAAAACTCCATTGAAAAGAAGCCAGTTTACAATACTCTTTGCATTCAAGTAAACAGTACACTATGAAAACAAAGCATGGTTAATATTAAATAAATGTTAATGACTATAATAATCACAGCTAAAAACAGTTTAATTTATTAAGACTAAGGGCTACAGTCACTTCTCTACAAACTGAGAATATTAAGCTTAATAACAGAGACAAGTTTGGATGACTCGTCCAAAAACTGTATTAATGTAATTTTGACATGATGGGACAAATTCATTGTCCATCAGTTTGATCTAGAGAAGTCTAATTTAAAATCAAATTTTTAAATAAAGTCCCTTTTTAAAATAAAATTATTCAAAGACATTATTTTCAACTACATGCTACACAGAATTTGGAAACTACCATTATTCTAAATAAAAGAAACATCTCTGGTCTGTTTTGCATGGAGAAGTGGTTTTGCTTTAGGTATAAAAGTTAATACAAAAAATAATATCTTTTGGCATATACCTTGATTGAAAATCCAACAGTTTTAGGCAGTAACTTTAGCAGTTTTGTAGGTCAAATGATAAATATGTTAACATCAAAATTAAAACAATATTAAAATATAAAACATAAAATTATTTTTAAAATAAATATCAATATTTTACAAGCAGATTTTTTAGGGAGTACTATACTTCAAAATATCTACCTAAAAAATCTTCTTTGAACTCATATTGAGTGGTGTACTGAAGAGAAATTAACTTATGAGTAGATGACTTGAAGTTTAAATTCTGACTTACTTGCTCTTCATATAAATAACAATGCAATTCACTGACTAAGTAGCTGCTAAGTAAAAGGCACTACTCTGGATCAGACAATGGGATAAAATAAAGATCAATAAACCATGCCCTTTACTCTCAAACATCTTACATATGAAGAAAAACAAATATGTAACCAAGTACAATTTACCAGAACAGATGCCAAATCAAGAAGCATGGGCCAACACATGGGAAAAAAATCTGTTTCAAGGCACTAAAAGACAATCAAAAGTGGATAGAAACCAGAAAAGAAACCCTTGAAAAAAGGAAGACACATTAGGTGAGATATTCATTTAACTGTCCATTCCCCTGAGAGCACGTCTCAGTTTTTAGAGTTCGTGGGTGATAGAGCTCAAACAGAGAAGTCTTATGGGGCTAAAAAGTCAAAGATCATAATTTGGGACCGCCAAAGCAGCTTGAAGTTAAGGTGGAGTTCCTTTAACATATGGAGCCATAAACCTGTATATAAATCTACCTCAAATCCTCCTCTGTGACCTAAACTGCATGCACAGGATGAGACTATAAGGAACCCATCTTGTCTTGCAATGACCAGAAGGCTAAAGAGGTAGGCAGAAACTTCATCAGCTTCTCAAAGCTAAAGGACAAATTTTGGAGTTCGAGTCCTATCAAGTTAGAGAAGCTTGGTAAAAACCTTGAGCTTTCCATTAATTCCACAGAAGGCCTTACTTCAGGAATAAAAATCAAGTCTCAGGATAAATGGTTATGACCTGAGTCTAAGATCAAAAATGTAGAAAATAGACTCATACTAAAAAAAAAAAAAAAAAAAAAAAAAAGCTAAAGTTATAATTAAGGTGACGCACCAGTAATTTAACCACCTGCTAAAATAAAATGAAATCCTCTTCAGAGGAAAATAATGAAGTCCAAAATCTCTACATTGTATCAATACAATGTCCGTATACAATTAAAAATTATTAGGCATGCAAAGAAACAGGAAACTGTAACAATAATCAAGAGAAAAAATGGGCAATAGAGAGGTTGAGATGGGAACATAGAAATAAACAATACAATCTCTGAAATAAAAAACTGAATAGATTTAACAATATATTGGACACTAAAAAAGAAAGGACAGTTTTAAAACATATCAATGCAAATTACTGCAAACTGAAGCAAAAAGAGAAAATAATGGGAAAGATGTCCTGGGACAATATCAAGCAGTCTAAAATATATGTAGCTGAATCTGGGGAAAAAAAACCAGAATAGGATACAAATGTTACTTAGATAAAGGATGACTAAAATTTTTCAAATAGCATGAAAAATAGCAACACAGAGATCTTAGCTCAATAAACCTCAAGCAAGATAAACCAAAGAAAGCAACAGTAAGAAGATGACAGTAAAATTGCTAATGAAAAATAAGGGAAAAAAAATTTTAAACATCAAAAAAAAGATACATTATTTATATGTGTTATATTTGGGGGAGGTGTAATAAATACAGCATACAAAGAATGAAAAACAAAGGAGGCCAGAAATCAATGGAATGACATCTTTAAAATACTGAGAGAAAAATGTTTATCAACCTAGATTTTTATAGAGCACAAAGATATCCTTCAAAATTGAAGGTCAAATAAAGACATGCTCAGAAACAAAAACTGGGAGAAACCATTGCCAGCAGAATCACAATAAAACAAATGTAATAGGTATTTTAGCTGAAAAAATAATAGTAACAATAATAATAACAATAACCTCCACAAAAAAAGTCAAGAAGGGAAAAACAAACAACAGATAGGACAAATAGAAAATAAACCCCAGGATGGTAGCCCTAAATGCACCTATATCAAGCATTACATTAAATGTAAATAGAATAAACACTAATTATAAGACAGAAATTTTCAGACTGGATTTTTAAAAACAGAATAGAAACTGATAGTCTAATATTTTAAGAGAGCCATTTAAAGTATAAAAAGATAGATACGGACTTCCCTGGTGGTCCAGTGGATAAGACTTCACCTTCCAATACAGGGGGTGTGGGTTCAATCCCTGGTCAGGGAGCTAAAATCCCACATGCCTTGGGGCCAAGTAAAACAAAACATAAAACAGAGGCAATATTGTAACAAGTTCAATAAAGACTTAAAATTTTTTTTAATTTGAAAATTGAAAGTGTGGGGGAAAATACACTACTCAAACACTAAGCATAAGAAAGTAAGTCTGGGAGGCTTCCCTGGTGGCGCAGTGGTTGAGAGCCCACCTGCCGACGCAGTGGACACGAGTTCGTGCCCCAGTCCGGGAAGATCCCACATGCTGCGGAACGGCTGGGCCCGTGAGCCACGGCCACTGAGCCTGCGCGTCCGGAGCCTATGCTCCGCAACGGGAGAGGCCACAACGGTGAGAGGCCCGCGTACCACAAAAAAAAAAAAAAGAGAAAGTAAGTCTGCCCATGATAATACAAAATAAAGTAGCTGAAGACAAGGGGTAATAGAAATAAGGAGGGGCATTTAATAATAATAAAGGAGTCAATTCATTAAGAAGATACAGCACTCCCAAATGCATATGAAAGTAATGAAAGAGCTTCAAAATGCATGAAGAAAAAAAATGACATAACTAGGATAGACAATTTCACAATAATAAAGGGAGATATTAACCTTCTGCCTTAACTAGCAGAACAACCAGATGAAGAACTAATTGAGGATATAGAATATTTGAACAACACCAACACTATCAACTAACTCAAACTAACTGACATTTACAGGACACCCCACACTACACTACAGAATACACATTCTTTTCCAGTGCGTGTGGAAATTCCACCAAGATGTAACTGACTTTGAGCCACAAAAATTGTCAATAAATTTCAAAATATTGAAATTACATAAAGTATATTTTCTGACTTCAAAGTAATTAAATCAGAAATCATTTTTCTTAATTATCTAGAAAAATCTACAGTATTTGGATGTTACCCAATTCATTTCTAAACCACTGGGTCAAAGAAGAAATCAACAGAAATATAGAAGATATTTTAAACTGGATGATAATAAGTTTGTTGTATACATTTAAAGCAGTGCTTAGAGAGAAATTTCTCATTTTAAAGTTTTATTTTTTAATGAAAAGTTTAAAATCAATAATCTAAACTCTTTTATGAAGAAACTAGAAAAATAATAGCTATTAAATACAAATTAAATAGAAGGAAGTAAATAAAGGTCAGAATGTAGATCAGTGAAATAGAAAACATTCAAAGAAGAGTGAACTTCAAAAAAACACAAGTTACCATCATCAAGAATGAAAGAGTAGACATCACTGGATATAGTACACATAGCAAATGGTAATAAAGGTACAGCAAACAATATTTTGCCAATGAATTATAAAACTGTGATGAAATGAATTAAATTTCTGAAAATAAAAAACTTATAAAAAACAGGCACAAAAAGAAATGGAAAATTTAAATAGCTTAATATCTTTTAATGAAAACTAAAGGCCCAGATGGCTATGGGCTCAGGGAATTCTTTCAAATATTTAAATAAGACATAGTACAAATATTACACAAACTCTCGGAAAATAGGTGAGGAAACATTTCTTAACTTGTTTTATGAGGTTAGCATTATTATGATACCAAAATCTGACAAGGGCTGTTAAAGAAAGAATTACTGACCAATAGATCTTATGAATGTAGTTGCAAAAATACAGAAGAAAATATTGGCAAATAGAATCCGGCAATATATAAAAAAGAAAATAGGGCTTCCCTGGTGGCACGGTGGTTGAAAGTCCGCCTGCCAATGCAAGGGACACAGGTTCGTGTCCCGGTCCGGGAAGATCCCACATGCCGTGGAGCGGCTAGGCCCATGAGCCATGGCTGCTGAGCCTGGGCGTCCGGAGCCTGTGCTCCGTAACGGGAGAGGGCACAACAGTGAGAGGCCCACATACCGCAAAAAAAAAAAGAAAATAGATCATAGCCAAGTAGGGTTTATCTCATGAACATAAGGTTGATTTATCATTATGAAATCAATCAATGCAATCCATCAACAGAATAAAAGAAAAAGCCATATGATTATATCT